TTGAGGCCAAAGTACATAAATTATATTAACAGAATTGCAGATCTGAAGGGAACCTTTAGAGGTCATTTAGTGCATCATTACTTTCCCAAGATAGGATAACCCATGTTTGTGTTATCTGTGGGAGAAGTTTTTCTAGACATTTGTCAAAGCCTCCCACTAGTGGAGATTCCATAATCTTCCATCACTACATTTATCCTCAATTTTTTTTTCTAGTTTCTAACCTGGTTTGTCATTGTTACAATCAAGCCATTACTTTTGGTCCGTTCCACTATGGGCATGCAAAACAGACTGTTCCCACTCTTGCTTTACCATAGCCTTTTAGGTATATGACAAGTGCTGTTTTCTCCCTCAGCTGTCTTCTCTTCTGGCTAACTCACTTTCATTCATCTAGCATGAGTTTTTTTTCAAATGTTAACGAACCAGTTACCTGTTTCTATTTTCTTATGGTATTGCTTTATGTGTTTGTTTTATTTTTATTTGTTTTAGTGGTAGAGGACTATATAGCATCTCATGTTTGCTTTGAAAATTCCACTTGGTCTCTCTTGAAACCACCTAAGTACTTGGACTTTTGACATACTACAGCAGTGAGACTTGCTGATCTTAGGAATTGTTTAAGGGATACTTTTATTTTACCATTTTTCAAATAAAGTATTGAAAATTCTCACTTTCATTCTATGTTCCTTTTTCCTTGCATAATGAAAGAATAAAAGGGTTCAGACTTCATTATTTTATATCCTTCTGTTGTACCTCCTCTCACAGTATTAATCATTCAATCAATGTACATGTAAGCTTTTCTGTACTCTGAAGTATTTTCTTAAGTACTGAAAAGAATTTCAGAATGGGCATGATATACATGAAATTATTCTAGTCCAAAAGCAATTAATATATTCATTACTTCAGTGCTGTTGGCATATCTCAAACAGTGGATTTGTGTTTGACTTTATTCAGTAGGACTGGTTTAGAGATGGCATGCACTATCTCTGCAATACACGATAATGCCACATTCAGAATGACAGCAGTCCAAGCCCTGGGGCACTAAATGCTTCTTGAGATATGTTCAATTGCTGTTTAACTGTGTTTAGCCTAAGGTGCAGAGAAAGAAGTTGCTGATGCCTTCAAACATGTTTATGTATTTTAATAGTGTCTTGGCATGTCAGAATATGCCACACAACTAACTGGGGTGCAGTTCCTGAATTACTGCAATTAGGAGGGAGGAATTTCAAAGACAGTACTGCTGTAGCTGTGTATCACTACAGCTTAGCTTTTTCCGTGCTCCCCCAAACAGTGATTTTCTACTATACGTACTCTCTCAGCTGTTTTTGTTCTCTGATCATGTAGTCAATACTTGTAATGCTTTAAGAGTTCTACTGTGTCTCCAATCATACAGCTCATAAAACAGACAACCATTTCATATAAAAGCTATGTAAATGGACTCCTGTTTAATTGCATAGTCATACTGGTGTTTCACTTGAATTTTGGGTAGTCCTCTGAATATAGTATATTTGTGTATAGAGTGCAGGAAAAGGTGGGACGAAAAGTGACTTACCAAACCACAGTCTCTGTCATTACTGTATGACTATTCCTTTTTCTTTTCTCACAGTATTCCGGAACTACTGCACAGGCATTATTTACAGGTCCTCAATAACTGGAACCATGCAGGGATGTTATGGGCCCATCAATGGGGAAAACCAGCAAAATCTGCATGTAGTCATTGATTTGTCATAGATACTATTTAGCGCTCATCTGCCAATGACTCCTCAGATCCCGTGGTCCAAGCTGCATGGTTTACAGAAGTACTGTTGCACTGCTGTAGTACTGTATGGCTATTGTGATCGTGTACTCCTCCAAGAAAAGGTCTACAGCTAGGAATGCTTTCTGGGGACAGGGTTCTTTCTGGGAATGTTCAAGTTATTGTATCCAGATAGGGTGTCAGTATTGCTTTGAAGGGTTTTCCATCTCCAGGGACAAGTGGAACAGAGCTTTTGACTGCTTAGGTACATCTAAAGTCTGTTGTTACCATAGGTTTTGTGCATGGTTTACATAGATGATAAAATGAAAAGCTCCTTGCATCTTTCTCCAAAAGAGTGGATGTGCTAGGACCACGTCATGACTAATTGAGAATGCTGGCTTTGTATAAAATATATTGTACAAGAATGGTTGTTAAAAAATGTATGGAGCTGAACCAGAGTGAGTGTGCATCCTTCATTATATTTCTGCAATGTGTGTGTACAAGAAAGCACAGAACCTGTAACATGTACTTATTGACTACTGTGTTCATAATACTTTCTCTGTACTTGATGAAATATATTGACCTTCTTTGGTAAGGAGTGGGAGGAGAGAAAATAACGGAAAACAGCTTGGGTGGAATATTTTGGTTGTTAATTTTTTTGGCTTTAAACTGGATATAGAACATTATATTTCCTTTCTCCACACTGTCGTGGTAGTTGCCTTCCTTTTTTGATAGCAAGCAATCCTTCTAGCCCTAAAGCAATGGTCAGCTACAATCAGCAGAAACATGAGCATACATATAAATAACTTCATTCATTTGCATGTTTTTATACAAAGTTTTATGGAAAACATAAGCTATCACTGTCTCAGAAATTAGCCATAAATATTTGAGGATTTGTTGGATTAATGATAAAAGTTTTTTTTTTTTTTTAAATTATAGTTATCAGCTAACTTTGGAAATTGGTAGTGGAAGCTTATATCAGATGCAATGAGAAAGTAGACTGTGAGACCCTGTAAATTACCGTTCTCCAATTTTTTTTTAAGCTGAAGTCTGAGCAGTTGCAAGTGAAATCTGCTTTATAAATATTCACTTTTGAAGTCTCCATTTACATGTATACCCAAAACCTTGTCTAAATAGCTGCATTTCAGGGAGTGGGTTTACAATGGCTTTACAAATAGTCAAGCAATACCTAGTTCTGATGCAGAGACATCATAAGAGGATATGTTTGAAAATAACTTAGATGACATCTGCCATTGTAAATCTGAAGATAATTTTATGCAAATAAAAGCTTAAATTTGAGTAGTCTATGTATAAACAGTTAAAACCTAACCCCAAACCTACAAATTTCTATATGACAAGAAATATCATCCCTCCAGGTTTACTTTCTCACTAATTAGCATTGTGATAAAATTTGTTTGTTGATAACTGGCATTTTAAGCACTTATTTGAATCAGTTTCCAGATATGTAACTGTGGTAGAAATCTGTTGTACTCTTCCTTGATGATTTGCCAATTGTGCTGACAAATTCCTTGCTGTGTCATATTCCATTAGGCTTATCAGCTAGCAGTGTGGTTGGTACTAGTGTCTTTAACTTTTAAACTGAGAAGTACTTAAAAAAGCATGTTACTTAGTGATAGATATGTTTGGATGTAAATTATGCTAGAGGAGAAGAACAACTTTTTTTTTTTTTCATATTCAGAGATTGTTCACAACTCCATGGGCTAGATAATGTAAAAAGAGGAGCATAAAGTCACTACTCTGCAAAAGAGGGTCAATCTGTTCAGGGAATTAGCAAAAATAAAGTTAATTAACTTTAACTAAATCAGTGTGGCAGTTCATTCAAAATGAAGGTTAAATCTCTGTTATCTACTGCAGTGTACAGAAAGTACCCAAGTTTTCCTTAACTGACTAGTTTAGGTACTGGTAATAGTTTAGTCCAGACAGCACTGGATGTTTTACCCATCTTCTGATATAACACACACACCAAACATTCCCTCCTTCCCTGCACTGCTTCCTGCCCCACCAAATGCTTAAGTTATGTCTATCTTTTAAACAGAATAGCAGTTAAAATGCAACAAGTTTCAAAACATGTTAGATTAAATGTGTGCTTAAATGCTGTGCTGATTCAAGCTCTTAGAACAGACGCAAGAAAGCAATGGAGTAGAAGGCTACATTAACTGTACATGCCAAATACTAATTGAAGGGTGTTTTAGAGGAAAATATATCACACTGGATCTGACAGCCTGAGGGAGGTGAGGCTGCTGCTTCTGCTCAATGTGCCCAGGTCCAACCAGTAGCAAAGATGAAGATGTATTCCCAGTAGGCACACACACAGAGCACACACATACACCGAATATATACACAGTTGGCCACACAGATCACAGACACTCAGAGCATTCACATGAACACAGACAGCACCAGTGGCCTCATTCTGCTCCCCTCTCTGGCTGGACAGGATGGAAGTCCACTAGTGAGAGTGGACACACACATACGTATGCATGCATATGCACACAGAGTAGAGAGCCCAAAACCAGGAAAGGATTAGAAAGGAATTTAACGAGAAGACAGGACAGATGGTGCTAATCAGGCACAGGGCACAACCAGACAAACTTATTAGCCAGCAAACTATTTACATGTGACTGGTCCTTTTATCCCCTTATCGCTTTATTTTCCCACTCTTGTTCCTCCCCAAATCACCTAAAAGTCTCCCTTGTCCTCCTTTTGGTTCCTCCCCTAAACATCGCATAATAAGTCCTGTGCTATCCCAAACTGCTTTTCCCCCATATCCCATAATGTGTCCTACATACCTAGACAACAATCCCCCTGTTAGACAGAAAGGTCTGCAGAGCAGCTGCCAGTGACTCATGGTGATGGGACAATGGGGCTGATGGCTTTGCTAGGATAGCCCTGGCAGGGGCCTGGACAAGGTGGTTGTTCTGCCTGGGTCCTTGATTTGGGTTCCTATCTGCTACTATACAACCCTGTTCTCCTCTGGGCCTGGGCAGATGGACTTTTGATGGGCTGATGGTCTCTGTGATGGGCCTGGGAGTAGCTCATGAGGGTATTATTTGGCTTAGTATTATCTTGCCAGTGTCTCTCCAAGCTCTTTTGTGGGTGTGAAGATGAAGTTTATCACATAACCCAACAGGGTGAGTCAGCCACATGCTGACTTAGAGGTTGTTGCTTCATAAAACAGCACTATAAGGCTGAATTGTACAGCAAGTCCTCACGCTTTACAATAAAGAATTCTAATATTTGTCCAGAAGTGAACATGGGATGCACTGCAACGCCAACTGGTAAAGTTTCAAGTGCATGATTCAAGGACCACTAGTGAGGGAAGGATTTTTATCAACTCAAGTAATGCTGGCTCAAGATTTTTTTGCACTAAAAAGAAACCGTCAGATATAATGAGACATTAACTGTTTCAATCTGGGAAAAAACCCAACCAACCAACAACAAAAACAACCCTTTTCAATGAACATATATTCCTATGTTTTAAATAAAGATCAGACATACTGCCTTGATAAGCATTTGCTAATATTCTTCCAGAGTAATAATTGAAATACAAGTAGCAAGCACAATGTTTAATGGTTATTGTTTGGAAATAAGGTGCTGTTTGAAGAGTTTATTGAGATTTAGATGGGAACGGCATTTGCCCTGTTGTAAAAATATGAAGGGTGTTTTTCTGTTTAAAAATCAAAGCACATCAGGTGCAGATCAGCAGTTAATTATGCTTCTTACCTTAAGGGAGTGCCAGAATAATACTAGATTTAGTTGACAAATAAAGAATTTTCCTGTTAGAGTCCCTGTCTTCTGTCTACATCTCTAGAACACAGTCATCTGACAGGCTAATAACTGTCCATAGGCTTTGCATTCTTCATTGAAAAATGTGGGAATCATAGCTGAGTCCAAGTACAAAAGCTTTAAAAAGTACAACTGGGAGGGGAAAAAAAAATCATTCAGTTCCCTCCTCCCAGCCTTACACATCTCAGCTACAGAGTTACTCAGTTATCTAAACATCAGTGCTGTTTTCCTCATTAAAATCAATGACGTACTGAAATATGAAATATTATGCAGTATTCGGAATACATACAGTAGATTCTATAAAAATGTTGAGAACAGTTAATAATAAATAATATGCATATTCTTTACAATACTGCAAGAAATTGCTAATTAAATGAATGTTTAAATGCATTAAAAAATCAGGACAAGATGAACATAAATCTGACTTTCAAGAGCTTTTGTAATTCTATCGGGATTAAATCTGCAGATGCTGAAAGGAAATATGCTTGGTCTGCAAGGACTAGTTGTAAATATTTTAAGTTAAAACAGTTTATTCTGGAAGAGGCAAAGGATTTTTGGTTGCTTTTTTTTTAACCTCAGAAGTGGTCTTTTTTATGAATTTATAAAAATTTCACAGTTGGAATTGTCACTGTTAAAGAAGGTCAAAATCAAAGAAAAAAAGGCAAAATAGATGTAACAAAATGAAGGCTGAATAGGCTTTTGAAAGATATTTTATAAGGCATAGGTTATTACTGGTAAAATTACTGTTCACATGAATTTGGGTGTTGTTGTGGGAAGGTAGAAAGTTGTCACAGCCCATATGAAGTACCTGACTGTGTTTCCATTTTGAAGCTCCTTGCTCCTTTTTAAGGTAATCGATTTTTTTATAAAAGAAACCTAAAAGTTTCATCAAATAAGTCATATCATGTGAAAGTCATATCAAATAAACTGGAAAAATTAATTTACTTGTTGATTTTTATTCTTTGTCAACTTTAACTGTTTGAATATGATGTTGTTACTTTGTAGGCAGCTCCAGTTATTTCTTGTAGACCATACAGTACAGTATAACTGAATAAAGGCAGAATCTTATCCAGTGCTTAAAACAGTTGAGGTAGCTTTTTAATTCAGTTGTAATGAAAGTATCAAAATACGAACATTAAAAACTGCCCGTGTTTTTATCTGGTAGGAGTCAATCCTGCAGTCCCCTGAACTTTGCACGTTTTCAGTGTAAGCTCTTACAAGTATAGTATCTAGAAAGCTTAGAAACAGTGATCTGGAACAGGACATCTTCTAACACAAGTCACATGTAAAATGTTAGTGCATCTATTCAGGCAGCCCTCAGATTCTCCCTGTTTCCCTGCATGCACACACAACACACAGAACAGCTTTATCCATACATGCTAGATTAACTTTATAACGAATAGCAGGGTTTTTGTATGCTCCTACTAATCATTGATTGTACGATTTATTTAACATATTGTGTACTAACAATGAATGCCCAACCCTCAGAAATACAAGCCAAGGTTTACATTATGTGCAAATTGAGTCCCATTGTCAATAACAGAGCTTCTCACTTGCAGGGCATTAAGCATGTTCATAAGTATTTGCAGCATGCAGGGCCTCAGGTTTCTTTCACATAAATTGAAAGCATTTTTTAAAAAAAAATTCAAAGAAAGGTATTTTTAATAATTTCAAGAAAATTGGCAGTATGGAATTAAGTGCTTGGTTGACTTTTAGACATCAAAATTCATTCAGTACCTAATGCTAAATGCTTTTGAGATTGATTTACAAGCACAGGAAGTGGCTTAATAGTCTTATTTTTCAATTCTTGAGGTTGAGGATAACTACAGATATTCTTGTTGCCTATGGGCACATGCAATGTAAAAAAACCCTATTACTAAGGAACTTATTGCAACATTTTTACCAAGACCTTTAAAAATACCTTTTGTGAATTTAAGGATTCTCAGTTTCACTGGAAGTCATTGCAACATTATACATTTGTAAAGACAACTCTATTTTACTTTCAGATTCAAGGCCTCTACCAGATGTAGCCCTGACAGGGAAGTGTACCCGAGAGTGTGATGAATATGGCCACTCGGACTCCTGCTGGATGCCAGTTCGCACTTCTCCTGAAAGAAAGCAGAAGAGCCAGCCAAAACTCTCCACTTTCATGCCTGTCGATGAACGGGGCAGTCAGGAAAAGCTGGCCAATGGAGAAGCCTCCCTCATGGGTGATCGCAACAGAAACCTCCTTAACAAAAAGTTGACCTCATCCTATGAGACCTTCAGCGCGGCTAGTTTCAGCAAAAATGAAGAAGGCAATCCAGAGGATATCCCCCTTACACAGACAGGGGAATACAAGCCATCTCCTGTCAATACTCTAACTAGAAGAGAAGTTTACCTGTAGGCTAAAAAGCAGCAACAAAGTTCTTTCATATTATAAGAAAGAAAAGGGGTGAAATTCTTAAAATCAAAACAATTTTAACAAAAAATAAGAAACAAAAAAGAGGGGGCCACCAAAGAGACAAAAGATCTGCCTGCCACTTCTGCCTCCATAGCAGGCATTTAATTATACTGTCTGCCTGACTATACTGTACAATGTAGAAAACGTTGTTACTTGCATGTCTAATTCCCCCTCACTGATTTTTATTTTCCTAAATCTATGGTTGCAAATTCCTCCCATAGTAACGAGCTTGATTAAAAAGAACACAACACACTGTTGTTTCCCCTCTGCAGAAGCATGAGTTAAGCCACTCATTTTGTTTGATTGTCATCTGGCTTGTTGAGGATAACAGGTCAGGGAAAATGTATTCAAAACATATCATCTGAATATTGCTGATCCCCACCAGGGACAATCCTTCAGAAACCATAGAGATATAGAGATAAATATAAAGGAATAATCATTAATAGGCACTTTGTGAAGACCACAGCTTTAATATTCTCACCTCTCATCTGAGGCTGGAAGCAACAGAAATATGTTCAGCCTGAGACTGCAGTCAAAAATGTGGCATACTTTCCTATGATTCATGAACTCTGGTTCTGTTTTATCCATAGAACAAATGTATTCTTGCTGTGTCTCTCTCTCCTTCTCTCTCGTTCTCTGTAATGATTACTTCAACGTAAACAAAATTAGCAACACATATACTGTAGGATAGTAACGATAAACTGTTGAAATCATTATTTTGGGCAAGACTAACATCTAGCTGGGAAGATCGTAATAACGAAAAGGCCAAAGATCATGCAATGGATCAGGGGAACTGCTAAGTATCGGGGCTTTGCTTAGAAAACTAATATCTTCACAAATACACACATGTACTCATAACACACCTTCAGTTACATTTTGCACAGCAGCACAGTTCACAAGCCCAGATGACATTTTTTTTTTTTCCCAGTGCAGTTCAGTTGTATGCCCAAAGGAACTGATGTAGGTTGTTTTGTAATGACATGATATGTTGCAGCAGATGCTGCATATGATATGCTGCATATGCCAGTTCCAGGGAATTTTTGAGATCAAAATTAAAAACTGATAGTAGTAATAGAAGACTGTGTTAATGAGAATGCTTGGTGGGATGGAAAGGGTGGACAATGGGATGATGCAGTGACAAGAGAATATTACAAGTAAAATACAAACCCTTCTTTTCAGAGTGCAAGGAGTACGAGTGATTGCTAAGTCTTTTGTCATCAGTGTTGCAGATTACCAACTCCTTCAATTATGTCAAAGATATAATGAAAGTTTTCTTGAAACACAAGTGCATTAAAACCAAGAAAAGGGCCATACTAAATGATGTCGAGACTCTGAATATTTAGGCTAGGTAGAAAATGGTCTGATAAACAGTGGTATGATACTCACCTAGCAGGTCAAGATGAGTCAAAAGGAGTCCAAGCTACCGTGATATGCAAGAGCTGTGGGCTGTAACGATTCTCATGGTGAGCACTTCTTGAAAGGAAGAGGAAATTAAACAGTTTTTTGTGCAATAAAAGCAAAAAAATGTGCAGAACTTCAGCCAGTTGCTTAGTAGCTGGTGCTGTACTAATAACAACAGACTGAGCTCAGACATTCAGACACAAGCGACAATCGAAAAACACAGCAAGGACAGCTCGAAGAAGGGGAAAGCATTCAAATCCCTGGCTGTTTAACCTGGCGTTAAGGCATGGCTAGATGGCTCTCTAGTGTACTGTAGTCACAATGTAGCTTTGGGTAGTTTCTTGCTTTGAAGAATTACATAGAAATAACCTTAAATGGCCTAAAGTAGAGATTGGTAAATCGATACAACTCATCACATTTATCTTTTGAATTCACTTCTCCATATAATGGGATGTGCCATTATTGGCCATTTCATTCTCCTCTCTTGAGTTTACTTTCTTCAAGTAACATTAGTTTGTGTATAGCAGTTATGATGAATGGGCACATTTTAGAAAGAAAATATTAAAATCAAAGATTAATAATGATTGAACATTTTTATGTTTAATTATTTAAGTAATATGGACAGATGCAAACTAGTACTTTGTTATGAGACTGCATACAGCAGTTACTGCTTTGTATAATCTGTAAGTACCTGTTTAAAAATGCTTCTAAAAATGCTTATATAATGTATACACATTTTTATTGCACGTTTCAACAGAATACACAATTGCATAACACAAATGTTCAACAGAATTTCCTTTAATAAGATTTTATTTAATATTACACACAAAAAAATAAATTAGGTAGCTTGGTTCCATATATTCTTAGACCCTTTTTCTACAACGCTAATAATACAGGTCATAGAAGACCTTCAGATTAAATGGATCAGCAGTCACTCACCAATTTTTGCACCACATAAGACAGTCATTAAATACTTTACTTGTGTGCATCTTCTTAGATCTAAAATGAGTGTGAAAGAATTTTTTTAAAATTCTGTCTACTGTAAGTAGTCACAGTAATTCTAGTGGAACTAGCCACTATTAATATGCTGATTACTCTTCTGACCTGGCATGACACACAAATATATTTTGTGTTTGTATTTTTCCTCTTTATTTGAAATAGGTTAAATCTGGTGCCACTCCATAAATAGAGTGCTTTTGTATAAAAATAAACAAATAAAACTATAAAAAATAATTAGAGTGAATGCGAAATATGCAACCGTGCCTTTTATACCTATTATTATGGTAAAGTGGTAGTTGGGTTTGGACACTGAGGGATAAGGGGCTATTCCCAACTTTTTTGAACCTGTATATTTACCTGTGTTTATTTTCTGAGAAATTATAAATGATATATTTAAAAACAAGCCTTTTGCCAAACTCAGTTAATGGACCAGTCTTAAGCATTATTAATACAAGACTGTGGTTTAAGTAGGTCTTGAGGATTTTTTTATTACTATTTGTGTGGGGTTTGGAGTTGTTTTTCATTTGTTTTTAATTCTGCTACCTGGAAAACTATGATCAGTCTATATTATAGTTATTTAGCAAGGTGTTGCCAGTTCATGTTGCCAGGAAAATTGACAATTTTTTTTTAATTGCTTTTAGCCATCATCACATTTCAGTTGTACTGTATAGAAATCATCCTTTTATTTCCTTCCATGGGAAACTCAAATGAGCTTTGCATGTATTTTACATTAGGGCACCTTTTGGATTGATGCGTTAATATATAACTTTATATGTATTAGAAAATTCAATAGCTTTGGTCTAAAATCTAATGCTCATTCTGGATCTCAGATCCACTATGTTTATTCGATATGGTTTCTGACTGGCCTGCTGCCTGAGTTTCAGGAAAAAAAGTTAAACATTATTTTTATGTGGGGGAAGAACTTAAATGGGATTGAAATGATTGGCTGAAAGGCTACCCTAGGAAGTTGTCAAGCAGGAAAACAAAGAATACGGATAAAGACCTTGCCATAAATCCAGCCATCACCAAACACTTGTAAGGAACTTGAACAATGAAGTATTTTTCCTTTTGTTTCATTGGTGATAAATATACAGTGTTTCCTTAAGGAATGAAGGAGATGAAATAGCAATAGAAATGAAAGTCCGGTTAAGTTGTATTACTAACTGAAGAGCATAAACACAAGGAAGAAGACAACATTCACCAGCTACCTGGGGTATGCTTTCAGACAACTTTTTCCTAAATTTTAAAGCACTTGCATTCAGTGTGGTACGATCTGTTTGTAATATTAATCATTGACTATTGTTCTGCAACTTGGATGTTGATAGTGAAGCAGAGAACAATTTATCATTGTTTATTATGAGTCACTATGCACGCAACTATGCTAAACATGGCAAAATGTATTAAACGCTACTCCACCTCTATTTATGAAATATTTACATAATTTAATTTGCTTTTGTACAGTTTTATGTAAATAAATTGCTTGTCATTTTTGTCTCTGCAAATTAAAATATAACATGTTCAACTGGTTGCCCATTTGCTAGTGTACTTTCTCTGACAGGCTATTCCACTTTTACTGGATTAAATCACATGCTAGTTTGCATATTTAACCTGTATTTTGCATGGCAAAGATGAAACTGCCTTTTTAACGGGCCATATCTTCAGCTGCTGATGTAGCTGAAGTTTTACCTGTCTACAGAATGAAATTCAGTAGAGGTTATTGTCACTCAGGAGAGCATACAGCTATTTTCGCAGTAGAAGTAAAGTACTTCTAATGATAGCAGTTCTTTCCAATTACTGTTCAAAAGGGCTTCTTATTAAGGTGTGTTTAAAACCTTTGCATTAAGGGGAATAACAACTCTTAAGTAAAAGCTCAGGTATTTCCATTATGGAATGGCAATTTTCTAATTATCAGCAAGGTTGTTATTTTTTCCAAGAAGTTTAGAAATATTAACAAATCCTAAAATATCAGTGAAGCATCTATGCTGAAAAGAACACCACAATTAATGCAGCATTTCAGAGCAAAATGTGAAATAAACACCTCCAGTTCTTTCTAGCTGTGAATCAAATTATCCATCTCAGCATAACTACAGATAAAGAACAAACCCTCCTCAAGAAGGAACATCTAAGAAGCAAAAAGAGTTTATTCCTTAGCTGTCTGGTCGCACACTGCTCTTTTTGTTTGTTTTAAAAAAGCAGGTTCCAAAACAGCCATTAAGTTGGGATTTGCTTCAGTTGTAATATGTGAAAACTATGTTTGTGGGGAGAGGGATCGAAGGTTAAAACTCACCCTCCTCCCTGTTGTTTTCTACAAAACACACTGTTGCTACAGAGACTTTGCAGTTGTGTACAATTTCCCACTGAACACTACAGAAAGCGCTGTTTCTGTCTTTTTACCTTAGTTACAGATTAGGCTTTGATTTTTGTGAATACAGGCTGGCCGGAACTTTTTTTTTTTTTTTAATAAACTTGACATTGCAAATTTCTTTCTCTGACTGTGCTTTCAGTTAACATTGCCTGGTCTTCTCTAATGAACATGTCAAGGA